AGGGCAATCTTCGCGGATCGGATCGCCAATAACTTAGATACGATGAGTAGTATTGGTATTACATTATGACCTCTGAAATTTCCGGTGTAAACAAATAAGTATAGAAAAAGTAGTATAGTATAATTCAGTCATCCAAGGATTGATTTGTACCTAATCTGTAGTCTTCAAAAGAATGGTGTCTTTGACTGATTTAACAAACATAGAAGTATTAAGGGCGGGGATGCTGATGGTTTTAATGTGAACAATGGTAAGGGCTGTTGAGAGATTAAGATGGTATGGGTTTGTATGTAATACAGCGTTTTAAATGACTGAATTATAGTCGTCTGTACTTTTGGTAACCTTTGGCAGCCATTGTATGAGTTTAGGTACTGTCACGTCATTTGATTTTCATTTTGGTTTGACAAAAAATGTTGTTCACAGATCGCCACTATCTTGCCATGTACAGTGACAACATTGCTTTCACTTTACTCTTTCTAGCCAGAACCAGGACATATGAAATATTTAATTGAAGCGTCTTCTCGCCAACCATGGGCAAATAACATAAACAAATGCTGCATCTCATACTAGCTGTACATGAATATTCATCAGTGCTGTGATTGGTTCAAACCTGCCACTAGCAGATTTGTTTCCCGCCAAAATTTGGAGCCATATTTTGTTATGTTTTCTTTAATTCTCTTTAATTTTTAGGTAATTTTTAGAATAAACATACAGAACTAAATATTCTTTCCAAGATTTAATAAAAAATTGGTAATAATTTTGGAATCTAACTGGAGTGCTTTTTGTAAATGATATTGACAGATCTGGTGGTCAAAAGTCCTATTTTAATGATCTGTTATACAATAAATACAGTTTAGGGTTTACTTTTCCTGAATTGGGAGAGATCATGACAATTTCACTGAAAATTCTCTAAGGGTAACTCAAGGTATTGCTGGACATCATTCTGTTAAGTTAATTGGTAACAAATTATAGACCCCAAAATGTCTCAAATTGTCTTTTTTTCTTCAGAATTTCAAAATTAGCCATCACTGTCACAGAAATAACGAAGTTACTGTGTCAAAAGTGTGCTTCCCTGCATTCGCCTGTAAAATTTATTGTAGAAAAAATATTTGTTCATATATTACAGCTTTTCTGAGAAATATTCAGTCAGTAAAAAGAAGGAGGTCTTGAACTTTGGTGTCTAGATTGAGCAAAATCTGAATGAAAGTGTTTTGCAAGCTGCAAGCCCATCTTAAAATACAGAATCACTGTAATAAATATACAAAACGTTCAGGCTGTCATACAACATCATATTGTATATCTCTTACATGTACGTTAGTGCAGCAACAATATACTAGTATTACGTAAGAGGAAAGCGTGTTTAAACGGCTCCATTCATAGAAGGCGCATTCACTCTGGACTTCCTATTACCAAATCATGTCAATGTAATTTACAATAAAAAGCATATACAGACCACCTGTTGTTACTTGGGCGTAGCTGACTCACTCAAAATACAATTATGTTGTACTGGATAATAGATTTATGTGTTGCATTTTTATTCAGAGGATTGACTGCCTGCAGGGGGTAGGGATCAAGGACCTCTAATTGTGTCTGACCTTAGAGTTACCTCAGCTACATATGTATAACCACACCCTAAACTAGTGAGTGGTGTCCTGCAAGGTTCGGATGTAGAGTAAATAATCTTTATACCAGTATATCATACAATGTATATTCCTAGGTACTGTTACTGATCAAAGTTATTGACTAACAGAGCCTTGAAAATAAATAATTCACTACCTATACTGCTGAACATGTTCTTATAACCTTTTCACCACCAGACTTTCATGCCCAAATTCTTCTGCACTGTTTTTTATATATATTTCTGCAAATGAACAAATTTTGAAACCAACAGACAAAATTTGAGTAAATTTTTAGTTTGAACTCAACAAATTTGGTTATTATTGTTCCAATCTTCTGAATGAAAGTGCAGACTATTTTGTAAATTTGTGATGAAAAGTGGGAACTGGTGATGAAAAAGTTAAAGAATCAGGTGCATGAAAATGAAAACACACGTTTATTTATTTTTACTTTAAAAATTCTGTAACTAGAATTTTTTTAAAAAAAATTACATATTGACATGCACATTAGAACGTGACACAAACAATGATCAGAAACATGATTTTTTTTTCTGTACATACATGTAGTCAAACACAGCAACAAATGTGTTTTATTCTGAACTTTAAATCTTCTGGCAAAAAATAAATACAGTGTAAAATTGAAGTGTACTATTGGTTGGGAAATCCAGCAAACAAGATGGTTTTTAATTGGATGATCATGGTAGGGTTGATCAACCAATCAGAGCCTACCTTCTAAGCCTTATAGAACTAACAGGACAATACTGAATTAAAAGTCAGTGGTCGCCTTGAACGTATGAATTTTGTGTAACATTTGTCATTTACATATGTGTTGGAAGGCACTGATATCAAACGCGCCATGTAATTACAACCACCGCTTTTTAATTATGAATCTATGCAAATTAGCAATAAACTCAATCATTGAAAAACTGACAACTTTAAACCAAGTTGGTTGTCAAAGTAGAGTGGGTGTGGATTTTTAGAATCAACAAGGGATCATTGTAAAAAATAATGAATTGTTTTTGATGATCTGCCAGGTACATGCCATGTATACAGCGTGTTGGTAGGAGTTACGATTCAAAACAACATGATGCTTATAAAAATAAAAATTCGATAAATTCTCTGTGGGGTCTACATGCCGACTTGACAACTTGTACAAGAATGTGAAACAAACTTATTTTCTGAATAGAGTTTTGGGCTGCCTCGTATATCAGTCTTCTGAATCGCATGATTGTACAGCATAATTACTAGGTTATGAAAGCTGACTCGAGATAAAATGTTGAGACTGTAGGTCATTTATTGCCAGTGTTCTCATCAACTATGCATATTAAATGATGCAGGTGAAACTGTACTCAAGAGTTACATGGTCTACTTATGATGTCACTCTAAGTTTGTTATCATTCATAGTCAATGTAATTGACCTACATCAAGCTCCAGGTAGCTCAAGGAATAAAGTATAATCCAAAGTTTGCTCAATGTTTCTTCTTTTAGTTCCCATTCAGATATAGAGACCTACATGTACGGATTGATCCCTGCATGCATCCATCTGTCCGTCCGTATCCACCTGCACCGATTGTTCAAACTTAACCTATACATCATTTATAGAACATATTCACATACAATTGTTTCATATGGGGTTGAATTGTTCCATCGGTTTAGAAAGTATGAGACAATTACCCATCCAGGTAAAACTATTGACAGAAATTTGTTCCCCTTATAATGGAGACACCTTAATCTTTTCACGACTAGCTCCCTCTTTTTATTACAAATTCACAAAATAGCCCCATTTATAAATCTGCATATTCTTTCGGAAGATTGGGACAAAAATAGCCAAATTATTTGAGTAAAAGCTGAAAATTGACTCAGTTAGGGTTCATTTCTAGTAATATTGAAAAAATGTGAGAAAAACATGCAGAAAAATTTGGGCTAGAAGGTCTGGTGGTGAAAATGATATATTTTCACTATTCTGAAACTAGATCTCAGATATGTGTGGGCAATTACTATTTTTTCTTTTGGTTACAGGTATGAAGTTAACACATACAATTTTTATTTGTTTCCGATTGCATGTTCTACGATAGATGTACGGTTCTGTTGTCAGGTACACTTTTAATATTCAAGTATAAATGAAATTTTGAAATAAAATCTTGATTTGTCAGTGTCACTGTCTCTTCTTCTCTCCTCTTATATTTTATATGCTTCATTCCATTCCTCTGTTCCTCTCCATATACCTCTTATACTTTCCTGCTCTGTTGCCCTCTACCAGTGTCCTATTCATCTTTCTTTTCCCATTCCCTCCTACATTTCCTCCCCTCACTGCTCTCCCTCCTACTCCCTCACTCCCTCCCTCCCATCCTCACTCACTCATCCTGTTCTCCCTTCTTTAATTTCCTCTCCACTCCTATCAAATCACCTGTAATGCATAGACACAACTATAGACATTGTTACTTTACTGTTACATTGTTACTTTACTGTTACATTGTTACTTTACTGTTACATTGTTACTTTACTGTTACATTGTTACTTTACTGTTAAATTGTTTTGGTGGCCATATCAGTTACTCATTGAGTTACCAATGCATGTAGTATACTGCTTGGTATTTGCATTTTCTGAAACCATACTTTCATTTATTCATTTCAACTAATTAATGCAAAGTCACTGATATGAGTTGATGTTTCAATTTCTAGGCCTCCTGTTTAGAATTTCTGTGTCAGCATCATCTAGATTTTAACAAGGTAAATTGATTATTAAATTTATTATTAAGTTTTCCTGTGAACTTTGTTTCAAACTTTTAACAACACTGGGTCAATGGTCCATCCCTTTTCTCCTTTTTAAATAGTTTGATAGATATATATATATGAAATGAACTATTTACTTGGATTCACTCCTGTACAGAATTATTCTGCCGCAGCAATTTTGAACAGTACTGATTTTTCACAAATCCTTGCATCTCATGAAAATTTCTGCTTACAACATGATCTAAATCCTACTTTAAGCCAATAAACTTTTCTTTGTGTTTAGTGCTGAACTTTTTTGCTAAGTACAAAACAAATATTCGGTTGGTGTCCATGAAAACTTATGTACAATTTTACCGTAATATTAGGTTTTGAGGGCTGCCAAGTCAAAAAAGTACACTAAATGAATGGCCAGAATGAGCATGTTTCATACAGATTAAAAAAAAAAACAGTTGTAAATGTTCATATGATTAAATTAAAAAAATAAGAGGTCGATGAAATAATAAACTGGAGTTTGGATGCTGAATTATGATTGAAAAATATGTATTTACCGCAATCTTCTAAAATTCAAACCATAAAATATTTCACATAATAATCCTAAAACCCTAATAAAGCTTTAGAAATGATCTAAAAGTCTCCAAATGTTTTTTTTTCTCTCATGAAGTTTATGTATGAAGGGATTCCTTATCTGAATAAAGACCAAGAATCAGAGTTAAGACAACAACTACACATACAGCCATCTCTAATAACGAAGTAAGTTAGAAAAAAACAAATATCCAGTTTTGTTGATGTTTGAACTATAGAGGGCACTGTTTTGAGTAATGTAATGTTCTTTACAGTGATGTAGATAACAAACTACTGAGAATGTATTCATCAATAATTAGTGAGTGGGTGCAGAATGCCAACGAGAATGAAGAATTAATCGTACAGGGATCAGAAGGTAGGAATCATAAAGTACTAAGATGACAATTTAGATTTTAATACTACCATGTCATTACAAGTAACTTGTGTAGTATCAGTTTTATTCCTTTAAAAAACTGTTGATTAAAATCAATCATTTTTAGTCTCACTGGCTCAATATTATTCTTATAAGATTATTTTGGTATGCTTGCCACAAAGTTTGAGGTGGAAAAAAAAACAAAAGTGCAGTTTACTCAGTGTTTAGACTATAGAGGGCACTGTTTTCAATTTTTCAGTGGTTTAATGGTACAACAAATGTATTTTGTCCTAAATTTTAAGTCTTCTGGCAAAGAAAAATGCTGCGTATGGTTCAATCTCAATTGAATTAATTTACAGATTCACTATTGGTTGGTAAATTCAACTGCTTCTAATGTGGCTGTTCATGGTAGAGTTGAGCAACACATCAGGGCCAATCTTATAAGCCTCATAGAGCAGTTTGTGGAAATGTGAAATAAGATCTTAATTTAAATGCACTTAGATTTATTCTCTCAACAGCATTACAAGCGTTTTATAGCTCACTGAAAATAGAAGCCATTTTAAGAAGACAGATGCGAGACATATGGACCAGTACTAATGATCTAGGACAGGTGAGAATTTGGCTCTTACATTTTTTTATGACCTATATTTTTATTAGCACAGAAGCATGACGTGTGATTTTCCTGAATTACCTGGGCATGGTATATGTGTGCTCACCTCTTGTCAGGAAGATCGTGGGTGTAATTCCCAACAAACTGCCAGCTCAGCAGTGTAAATTAGAGTACTGTAAAATGACTAATTTTCACTGGGTTTAAATTTCACTGATTTGCCATTTCAGGCATATTCTTTGGGTTTTAAATTCACGGTTTTATCATTTAGATTATGTGTTCTATGCTAAATTTTACATATTCACTGGGTTTTAATTTAGCGCATTTTCCAGTCAGCGAAATGAGCCAAATTAAAACCAAGTGAATAATTAACCCCTTTACAGTACCATAAAAAAATTTGTCTACTCTAACAGTAGATTTTCGTATTTATTGGCTTCTAAATCATTTTTCATTCCCCCTAAAATTTCGTCCACCTCAGACAAAAATGGTTGAAATGATGGCCATGGAGCTTAGAGCACTGGAAAAATCAAAACATCATGCAAATGGTTTGATACAAAAATAATTTTACTGTGTGATATCTGAAAGAGTTATAACAGCTAACAGACATTATAATAATAAATGAAATGTATTTACCTATTTGGGCAATAAATCTGCAAGTCTTTTTCACAGAACTAAGGGACAACATCAAAAGTTCAATGTAGGATAAAAAACTTAATTTCTTTAGTTTTTTCCCAAAGCCCCCTACCCCCCACTGAAACTTAATTGATAAATATTGACCATGGCGTCAGACTACATTCACCATTAAATACAAATTGATAATTCGGCAGTAGTATGGCATACCAGTTGGTTGTCGGGGAGGGGGGGTGTAAAAAGACTTTACACTCGGACCAAACCATTTTCTCGTCTTGAATGTGTTTTTTTCATTTTCTGTTATTTTTGTCCATGATTGGATAGAAAAAAAAAAACGAATTACAAATACTCCAAGAAAATGTTGACTTCATTAAGAAATAAAATCGTTTTTGTAGGATAGAAACTTTTTGAGGTCAAAACTCCCCACCCCTAAACTAAAGCAAATAAGTTTTTTATCCAACATCGATCTTTTGACGTCGTCCCTAACTCAGTCATATTCTAAATCTATTTATTTTTTGTTTTATTTTTGGCCAAATTGATGATGTTTCAACTAAAATGTTGCTTTCTGACAACCAATTATTTGAAAATGGTAACAATTTTAGAGTTATTACAGTACATACTATCTTGACCACCAAACAAGTGAGTAATAGTTTTGTGATAATGGTGTCTTATCCACTGGAGACAATAAAAACTTTAGCCCTGTGTGCTGTTCTCAGTACTTACTGATAATGTATCCTCATCATAGAGTACATTCTTGTAAAGCAGGTTGTCCACACAATAATGGTTCAAATCATTCTAGTGTGCCCTCATAATAACTGGGCACCAAGATCTGTAGTCAGGCCTTTTTGCCTGTTGATCTGAGTTATAACAAAAAACATAGATGAAAGTTCAAAGATAAATTCTGATGGGAAATACTGTGGGTGAGTCGGTTGATGTAAGAGATTGTGTCTTCTACAGATAGTTGTGAAGAAAGTATCAAATATAGTAAGAAAAGAATTAGAAAAATCTGAAGGTTTTTTGGAAGAAAGGTAAACAATTGCTAGTTTATTTTAATATTTAATATATAACTTAGGTTATGCATTTTAATAAAATTTGTTTTATACTGGTCATCACATACAATGTATTATTAATGGTTTAATATATTTAATAAAATTGTGAAATTTTGAATCGGTGAAATATTAAATTATTACTAAGTTCTTTAAACATTTCATGGAATCTATTGCTACTAACACACCCTCACGTTTGAAAACAGTTGATATGTCAATTTTGTGAAAATTGTGATATTTTGAATCAGTGAAATATTAAATTGTTAGTAAGTTCTTTAGGCATTTCATGAAATCTTGTCACTACTAAAACAAAAAGGTATGAAAACAGTTGATATATCATTTTAGTTTAGCAGTGTTCATTTTTTTCAGCCTGTGTATACATTTCACACACACAAAAAATCATGATAAAAAAAATAAATAAAAAAAAAAGTTTCTTCGAGGCTATTTGATTATTTTTTCAACCGCATTTACTTTCACGGGTCTTCAGTGGTCAAACAGTATTGTTATTTCTTGAAATGTTTTACTTGTTGATGTTAGTTTTTATACTCTGAGGAAAACACTAATACCATATTTGCTATTAGTTTATGACACATAAATAACATTATTATTGGTTCAGTATATTTTAATTTGCAATTTAGGTTTATTAGATATTTCCTTTTAATAGAGCAAATACAGTTGTGATGCTGTTTTAAATACTGGAATATCAGCAGCCAAGTCATGAATAATTGGACTGAGGTTTTAAACTTGTATTGTCAGCAAAACTTAGTTCAATACCTTTTTAATTTTGAGTAATTTAACCAAAAATCAATATATTGCGCTGTTTATTTACTAAATTATTATTTTATTTTTCACTACAATAAATCCATGCATTGGTGTTTAAATTGTACTTCAAGAGCATGCTAAACACAACTCACCTTGGAAGTATGTAACGTTTGATGCTCACTCAGATGCAAGTAGTCGTTCTATAAATTCATAAATTTATAATATAGCCCATATCGAACAAAGAATCCTGCATTTGATTTTGTGACTTGATGGCACCCTATTTAGATTCTGAAAACTCAATCACAACCAAATCTTCAAAGCTGCTTAGTGTGGCGGATATCTTGCAATTGCACCAATTTTTGCATTTAATGTGAAATACTTTTTTTTTAATAGCTGGAATTAATTTTCGCTGAAAAGACTTTTTGGGCGTTTTGTATGGAAGTTATTTTCACTGATTTTTGACAAGTTGAATGTAAAATATAGGAAAAATAGTGTATTCGCTGGATTTTATTTTCACTGAATCATTCCTTTAGCGAAAATTAATTCCAAGCGAAAATAAAGTATTTCACAGTATTACAGTACACATATTACTTTGCATGTTAAAGGCTTCAAACAAAATTTTGCCAACAATACGGTACAACTTTAATATGGCTGATTATTAAAACCCACTCATCATTATATCTACAATATATACTATACAAGGCAGTAATATAGTAGTAAATATATGCAACCCGCCATAATTATGATTGATTATAACCTTTTCACCACCAGTTCCCTCTTTTCATCACAAATTCACAAAATAGTTCTGTTTATAGTCTGCACTTTTCTTCAGAAGATTGGGGCAAAAATAGCCAAATTTTTTGAGTTAAAACTGAAAATGAGAATGAACGCTGTTGGCTTCAAAATTAAGGTTCATTTCTAGAAATATTGAAGCTTATAAGAAAGAAATGCAGGAAAATTTGGGCCAGAAAGTCTGGTGGTGAAAAGGTTAAAGTTTGAACTATGCTTCCCAATTTATCATTTGGTGATATGTATTTATAATAATTATGATTTTGCTTTCAGGATACTGGATAAACTTTTAGGATTTTCAAAAGTAATTGGAACTTTAATTGAAACTAAAAAGGTACAAAATAAGTGTATGCTTTCAAACAGTCCACACACATCATCTATCAACAGTTGCTTAAAGAATCAAAGCAATCAGACCTGCAGTTTTTAAAAAGAAGTCAAACATTTCACTTTTTATCGAAAACGACAAAAATATCCACCAAAATTAGAAAATTAAAGATATTATCATGAAATGAACAAATCTAAGAGAGATCCACCCAAGGTACATATACACCAAGTACGAGTATCAATTCAATCAGGCTTGTAGTTTTAAAGAAGTCAAAAAAGTAAAAAGTGACACAGACGATGACAGACAATCATTCTTATCATCATACGATAAACTCTTATCAACAAAGTATGTAGTTCATTTTAGCGTTCCAAGTGTTAACTGTATCCATACAATTGAAATAATCATGCAATGATTATCTCTAGTTATGTTTTTTTCTTTTTCAGCCTATTATTGGTCATAATATGCTGCTAGATCTGCTGTTTATATATCAACAGTTTTATAGAGAGTTACCAGGTGAGAATGGAAATCAAATTCAGTATTTACCTTGCCGCTGTTTAAAGGGATGACAATCATTCCCTGGGAGTATTTGACATTCACTTTTATTAGACTTCACAGATTCACTCATTTTACTAAAATTGATTCACATTTTCATTCTTCACTGCTACAAAAGTTACAGATCATAGTCATGTTTATAGTGTTGACCGCTACCAAAAAATGAGTTCTAAAAGTTCTAGAAAATCAGCAATAAAAGCTGTTATTGTTGTCTATTGAAACACCATTGAATTGTAAAGAAATGGATCATTTAGACGATCAGCATAAAAAGATCTCATTACATGCCATGATAATCCTCATATTGACAAAAAAAACAAAAATGGAAATTTATTAAAGTTGTGATAGAATACTCCTGGAAAACTGGTAAAAATGTCCTGGAACATCCTGTAATTTTATTGCATTTCAGGGATACAAACTCTGGTTGAAAAAAATCAAAAACATACAATATTGGTACTGGACCTGAGAAGAAAGTGGTTTAACCTGTTCTTTATATTTCTAGAACGGTGAATTTGGCTCCATAACAAAATACTTATAATATGTTTTTGTCTTTTGTGGAATTCTCATGCAAAATCAAAATTAGTAATTGACAAGTTTCTTTTTTCTATGCATTATCAGTGGGGTCTTCAGCACATGTATGCCATTATTTCTTTATTATCAACCTTTTATTGTTCTCATTTATGATAGATTCCTACACTGAGTTCAAAAAAGAATTAAACTTGATTTTACCAACTGTTTTTGATACCAAATTTATTGCAAATGAACTAAGAAAGGTAAGGAATACATTAAAATTTATTTTCTCTGTGCTGCCTTGTATTCTTGAAAGATATATTTTGCTTCCAGACGTAAACTCATTTAACTCCTTAAACTTACTTTTGTCACATAATTAGCTCTTTTGAAGCCTCACTTATTAACAGTGAATTATACTTAGCATATTGCTGCAGGGAACCCAAACGTGAGGCTTGGAATGCAAATTAATAAGCAATGGCCACCGCATGATAAAGCAAATTAGTCCATGCATTGATTGACCTCTGTCTGTGTGTGCATGCCTGGATCGATTAAATTAAAACATCACACTTACGTCCATTCATGATTCGATTCAAGATGGCTGAATGGTGCCTATTTTTGTTCTTAATTGATGAAGGTGATTAGACAATTAAATATTATGTCCATTTGGTCCAAAATTGAATAAAAATAGGTTAAAGATTTGTTTGTTTGTTTGTTTTTTAGAAACTTAAAGATTGTCCATTTTTTAATGACACTTGTCTAGAGGATCTGTATTTCTCACTAGACAGGTAAGATCTTTGTTAAATAATTTGTACCCTTTGATATACTGTAAAAGTGTTAATTATTCACTGGGTTTTAATTTTGCTTATTTCGCTGACTGGAAAATTTAAAACCCACTGAATATGCCTGAAATGGTAAATCATCGAAATTTAAATCCAGTGAAAATTTGGTCATTTTACAGTACCAGGATTGGTACTACTACTGTACTATCTGTTCTATAGCGAGATAAACGACTAGGCCTAAACTGTTTAGGCTTTACATCCATGTACCCAAGTGGTGAAAAGTATTTTGTTTCTAAACAAAATTCCTAAAACTGCAAAACAACATATGTAGGCGAGAAAAAAACAATGTTTTGGTATTTTATTGAGTCCTGTATCACTTGAACATGTTCACCCTATGAACCCATGTCATTGTAAATACAACAGTGTTCTTTTTCCTTGCGTGTTCAAAACACACTACACAACTTAATTTCTAATAGACCATAGCTGCTGACAGTTTTCTCACCAGAAAATATATACATGGGGGCACACATGCTCTATCAGTTTAGAAAGTATGCGACAATTACCCATCCATGAGGAACATGGAGATTCAGACATGACGTATTTTGCTTCTCTTATAGTAGAGAGTGTACTCAAATATTTATTATGAATTATTTATGAATTGTCAGTTGTATTTTCTAACATCTTTGTGAGACAATTTGTCTTATGATAGTAAAAAACCTGGTGAGAACACTGGATGCCAATCTTATTTAAGAGTGAAAAACACAACAAAAGAAGTGAACAAAAAACCTGCTACTCATAGAAGAAGAATAAAAAAAAGTTATTCCACAGATAAGCCAAATTACATCTGGGCAAAAGCTGTTCTGCTGAACCAAATGAGGCCTGGAGTGGTCATCAAGAAAAAAAGGATCAAAGGGTAGAGACTCAAATGAAATGGGTGGGGGTCAAATCCTTTGCCCATTGTGACAGAATTTGTATTGTAAGTTTAAGTGTTGCAATTCTGCTAGCATTAAGTTTTAAAGTGATCAGTGTGTTGTTAATTATTTTGTAAATGTTATTTTTTTTTCAGTCATGATGGGAGATATATTGTGTTACATTCACCAACGATGGAAATTGTTAATAACAAGCATTATGGTGAGTTATGGAATTATATATATATATACATGTACATGTACATTTATTGTATAGAGAATGATGGAACTCATGCCTTTAAATAGAGACAATGGACGATTTTGCTTTTTGCTCAGAATAAATAATTAGCTTAGATTGTAATGCTAGGGTTTTTAGTGATGTCATGACTTGGTCATGACCTTGATCTGAACCAGTGACAGATGGGTCGTATCATTACCATTTACTGTATAGGGGTGTCAGGGCTACATTTTGATGGGAATTATAGTGGTGATACTGAAACAAACCCAGGTCCTGAATTAACAAAGAAGTCAAGTTGTTACTAAAGGTACATAAGGTTTACTCAGATTTATGAATGCAGTTTCTATAGCATGTATGAGACATAGTTTGGTTGCGCTTGTGTACTCTGAGATTTTGGACCAGGGTCAATAAAAGTTTTCAGTTATCAGATTAAGGGAAATCACTTTATGATAAGTTGTACCCACAGTACATATTAATTCAATTGTTTGCAGATGTTCCATGTATTATTTTAAAATGAGTATTTTATAATTAATATATATACAATATATATCTAATATCACCTAAAAAAATCTTATGTTGTATTCAACATAGGGTATTTGAAATTCCTGGTCGCTTAGCTGTACATGTATAGGAAATTAATAAGTTCATTGTTCACAAACTTTGTATGTCTGCTTGATGAGAGCATACAGATATGTGTATGTATAGAAAATCATAGTGCATTGTGGGAAAGTTTGCATTCAGTGCACATGAAAAATAAAATTGTTTGATTGAGCACAAACAGTCCCACAATGCATTATGATCTACTATTTATAAGTGATACAGAGGCCATAGATGAGAAAAAAACTATTTAATTTGTAATTTTCCATTTTCTGTTCAGATTTGACCACTTAGATGCATTCTGTTATTAAATTCAGTAAAACTCAAGGCTGTAATGTTCAATATGGATTTTCAGGATTAACACATAGACTGCTGAAAGCCTCTAAAGAACAAATTTACATGTCATAACTGCCTTAATCAGTGTCTCCTTTGATGTATATAATCATTATGAGTAACTTGGCATGAATGCATGATGTTAATTGCTGTGTTTTGGTAGGATGCATTCCTTCAAAAAATAATACATAAAAACAACAACAAAAAATGATATATTATATATTTTTTTACCGGTATTGGCAGCACATCAAGGACACCCACATGAAGCTGGATATGACTCATTCCTTGCAGGATATGGTGAGAATAAATACTGCACATTTTTCCTGTGTTTTTATTCAGCCATCATGAATTGAGGAAAAAGTATATAGGCGAACATAATCCCATTGTTTTTGTCCTTCCATCGTAAACTGTTTTCTTTATTATTTGAATAATTTTTATACAACCTTTTCAAAACTTTGTCTCAAATATCAAAATCTTCTTAAATATTTTGAAATACCAGTCAGGTTTTAGTATTCGTTCCCAACAAAATGGGTCATAAGTACACCTCTCTAACTCCCTCCCTTTTTTTCTCAGTCATTTACTTCCTTCTTTCCTTACTTCCCACCCTGAAGTATACTATAATGGAATTATGTGTGGTGAGTGCATTTCAGACTTGATAACGCCAAGTCACAGGCGGAGATTCAGTCATTTTGGGTGGGAAGGTCCACAGGTGACTAATGTTAAACAAGGTCTGCATAGTACATTATTATGTCTTGAAATTGATATGCTGATTAACTTCATTTACCGATACTCTTTCTTTTCATTCCTACCCGGTAGTATTTCTACGGATGGTACATATATTTACCATGAAACAGTTACAGTAAGCAACATCTCATTACAACATTTCCACATTTACGGGTATATACATAAACTGACTGTATTTAATACTCTTACAAATATATATCTACCTGAGATCCAGCAAAAATAAAATCAGTGACCTCAAATGTGACATTTTGGCATATTTTAGCATAGATCTATGCAGTATGATTTTTGCTCTGGAACATTTATAACTTACTATAACTCATAGAGCTTGTATGATACATCGAAAGTCTGGTGAATTATTTTGGTTACAATATTTTTCAGATTGAGAGAGATTCAACCACAGGGATTTGTTGCGTATCTTCACACATTCAAACAGTTTAAGAACTGTATCAATTTATCCAGAGCCACAATACACTGTCTGGTGAGTGGGTTTTGTTAGCTCCGCTGTCGACTTTGTCTAGCGGAGCTTATCAGATGAGTGATTGTCAGTCGTCAGCGTCTGTGTCAATGTTTTACTTTTTTGACTTCTTCTTGAAAACTACAAGCCTGAATGCTTTGATACTTGGTGTATATGTACCTTGGGTAGACCTCTCTCAGATTTGTTCATTTCATGATCATATCTTCAATTCTCTAATTTTGGTGAATATTTTTGTCATTTTTGGTAAAAAGTGATATTTTCACCTTCTTGTTAAAAACCGCAAGTCCAATTGCTTTGATATTACATGTACAGGTACTACATGTGGACCTCTCTCGGATTTGTTCATTTTGTAATGATATCTTTAATTCTCTAATTTTGATGAATAATTTTGTCATTTTTGGTAAAAAGTGATATTTTCAACTTCTTGTTAAAAATCACAATCATTTATGGTGAAAAATGATATTTTTGAATTCTTGTTGAAAACAGCAATTCCCATTGCATTGATACTATGCATATTGTTCATTTTCTAATTGCACATTGCATATTTGTCAGTGTTTGAGTGGACAGCAACCGAATGTAAATAATACAACCTACCATAAAATCTGCATTAGAAGCCGCATCTCTAATATAATTCGCACCCATTCTTTTTGAAGAATTGAGAACCAAAAATTCATTTCTCATATGTGTAGATGCTCTAATAGAAGCTGCATCCCCTCTGCTGTATTGTACCATTTTAATAGAAGCCACAGCTTCTAATACAGATTTTACAGTAGTAGGGCTAGTATTCACATTGCTGTGTATTATATTTCTATGCTTTACTTCTTAGGTTAGCAACTGCATGTACATGTACAAATTCCTAGAGTATGATAATCAATGGATTAAACTTTTTTTAATTTCAGAATTTGAATGGCCCAGACCCAAGATCTGTAAGACCAGAGTGGTTATATATAGAATTAAAAGATTCCAACATACTGGCTTGTAATACACAGGTAAAGTGAGACTTTACTTGTCTATACTGTTACACTTCCGTGAAGTTTACAACTGGTCAAAATCTCATAATATACTGTATGCACATAAAATAAGTCGCTAAAATATTAACGATTCAAGATCAAAATTTCACTAAAGCTACTCTTGAAATTTACTAATTTTATGTCAATGGCACAACAGTCATAAATCTATCTGTTACTATTCTAGTGTTTTATCACTGAATCGCTTATCAATCACTTATCAATGAATATTCATGATGATGAAATGCATATATGTAACTATGACTAAGGTGGGAACTTTTTAGCTTATCATATGAGCGATTGTCTGTCGGTGTCTATCATCGTCTGTGCCAACTTTTTACTTTTTCGACTTCTTCTTGAAAACTACAAGCCTGAATGCTTTGATACTTGGTGTGTATGTACCTTGGGGCAGATATCTTCAATTTTTTAAATTTTGGTGAATATTTTTGTAATTTTTGGTAAAAAGTGATATTTTCGACTTCTTGTCCAATTGCTTTGATATTACATATATAGGTACTACATGTGGACCTCTCTCAGATTTGTTCATTTTGTAATATCTTTAATTCTCTAATTTTGGTGAATATTGTTGGTAAAAAGTGATATTTTCAACTTCTTGTTAAAAACCGCAAGTCCAATAGCTTTGATATAACATGTATAGGTACTACATGTAGACCTCTCTCAGATTTGTTAATATCAGGATGATATCATCAATTATCTAATTTTTATGAATATTTTTGTCATTTTTGGTGAAAAGTGATATTTTCGAATTCTTGTTGAAAACGGAAAGTCTGATTGCTTTGATATTATACATATTGTTCATTTTCTAATAATATTTTCAGTTCTTTAATTGTAATGTGCATTGCTAACAGCAGAGCTATCTCAGCCGACAGGCTGCTTGTTTAAATATTTGCTTTGCCAGGAGACAGATCCCAAAAAGGAATTTGTTGGGATGTGCTAGTGCAGAGGGTTAATTTCACACACAAATCATGTTCCATGTGACCGCTGTATGATCATAATCCAATCAAAATAGCATTATGACACTTGAATGTGCTATCCTGGCATCAAACAGGCCTGGTTGAATACAACTACCTGTGAACCTTAATCATGTTACCCCCATAGTCGCATCTATTAGTGAATGGATCACCCAGGGAACAGCCGATTTTACTTCCCCTTTGAGTCTGTGGTAAACTCACTCGTGCTTGGGAACAATCTTTTGGTGTTCAGTTCGGGTGATAATTTGAACAAAAGTATATTGATAATGAATCTGTTGTAACAACCACTATGCTGTGCTAAAGATGACCGTTGAAAGATCCATAACATTTGTCACTAGGTTTTCACTTCACTAATATCGCTATATATGATTTTAAGTTAACCTTTTCACCACCAGTTCCTTCTTTTCATCACAAATTCACAAAATAGTCTCGTTTATAGTCTGCACTTTTCTTCAGAAAATTGGGACACAAAGAGCCAAATTTTTTGACTGAAAACTGAAAATCGACTCGTTTTGTCTGTTGGCTCCAAAATTAGGGTTAATTTCCAGAGATATTGAAGAGTACAAGAAAAAAAGTGTGGTGGTGAAAAAAGATTTGAACAAGGATCTACCAATGTTGTGCTACAGGCGACCAGTGAAGTATACTAATTTGTACTCTTGCTTTGGTTTATTGTAGTTAGCTAATGTGTTTGGTGCGTATGGATCTGTAGATGTAAAGTTATTGGATAAGAAACATGCCATATTGGCTGTGGCCACTCACAGAGGGTAAGAATTTCAATAATGTAACAGTAGAATGTTATGTGATAGTGTCAGAAAATGGTGTAAATTATGCTAACTGTATTGGCTATATTAGAAGCACATATGAATTAATATATTGAATCATTAAAATATTACCTATTTTTATGAAGAAACACCTCTGTAAATTACATGAATGCATGCACTAATAATAGAGCAAATACTTTGTTTTAGCTAGAATTAATTTTCACTGAAAAGGCATTTTGAGTTTTTTGTATGGAATTTATTTTGAGGAGTTGAATGTAAAATATAAGAAAAAGGTATATTCACTGAATCATCTCTTCATGCAGAAATTAAAGTATTTGTTGTTGTTGTTGTATCTGATATATTAAATGGCTTGATTCACTGTACAATACCTTTTCTATTTCAGTTCCAAGGACATTTTGAAAGCTTTTCACAAGCATAAGTCTTTCAGAGTTGTCAAGTATAATGTATTAAAGCATTCACCCAGAGTAAGACTTGTTCTATGGTAAGTACTAAGCTATACCGTTTATGTAACCCACTACATGTCGATGACAGGGCTATGCAGCTATTTCTCTGTCAAATAGCAATTTACTTTCACTGACTGGTTTCCTATGCAAGTTTCAAGATTGTTACATGATTAGAACTGGTTTGATCAAATCATTTTTATGACTACACACTTTTTGGGGATAATTTTCATTTTTGTCTTTTCGCGATACATGTATGGCAATTCACTAGATTAGATAAGAAGTCTGACATCTTCGTTTAGGTTGGAACATATAAATCACTTCTCAATTTTGAGACACGTATAGCAAACCAATCAGCAACTTAACTGGTATGCCATTTTGGTGTCTGAAACAATATGGCTATTCCAGTGTCAACCAAACCCGGTCTAGCATGCGAGGTCATTTCTGTTGATAATTGAATCTTGGCCGCTGGCATCACCAGGATGGTGTTGAACCAAAGTACCTGTATGTATCCATCTTTGCCCCTCCCCCTTCCCCGACCATAATTAAAGTTCAAACCCAGGGGTTAGACATATGCAGATGTAATAGAAGAAATACAGCATATCTCAGGTCAAGTTTCTCATATTAACACAATATCTATTTCTTTATAATTATAGGAGTGGTGTTGCCATGACAGCAGTTGTGTGTATATGGACAATTTTCTCATCCCAGAGGCAATAGATAGTACCACATGAACGTACATTTCCAGTTACTATTATAATTATAAACTTCTTTTGAAACCAAGCTATTTTTTGTTTAACTTTTATATTGTACAGAGACTTTACAATAAATGTTATTTTAAATTTATTTCTATGCGTTTTGTTCGTACATGTAAATTTGGAACATTGAATATTTGCAACTTGTGCATATTCAATATTACATCGCATCCTCTTTAAAGCAATGCTTTGTGGGATTGTTAAATTGATTAAACACAGGCAGAATGAAAGACCCTACCAAACAGTTATAGGACTTGTTTGTATCAGTCTCTACTGCTACCAAAACGAAACCTCATCCTATTTGACCAACAAGCATAAAATTTAGCAGTTTATAAGTATTTGTCTCCGATCTAATATTAGCTAGTTCCTATTGTTGTTGTTGACCAAATAACTACAGATATGCTACCGATACGTTAAATGTTCATGTTCATATTCAGAGATATTGCACTGGATCAGCATTAATTAAAACAAAATGGCCACCAGTCAGGGCATTTAGAATAGGATTGTTAAACCAATACACCTGTATATCTAGGACATGATGCATAATAAATATATAAAATTGGAACATAATCAGTCAAAGCATGTCAGAAATATGGCACTAGAACTGCATTAATTAAAACAAAATGGCCGCAAGTTGGCCATTTTAAATCCAATCCTGAAAACAGCAATGACGGGCATAAAGGTCCCAAGTTTGAACAAAATAAAATAATCTGTACACAGCCAAAATTCAGTTCTGGAATGCCAAAAAAGCTTTTTCAGCACAAAAATAGACGCCAGTCGGCTATCTTGAATCAGATCGTAAAACAAATTGATGTATGTGTGAAGTTTGATGTAATCGGTCCAGGCATGTCTGAAATAAAGGTCCTGATGCCCCGTTTTCGGAGTGCATCCGAACGAGGACTAAAAAACAAGATGCAGTCATTTAGCCTACAGAGTTACTACATGTAACATCCTGTGCCTTTTACATTCACTAGACAAAAATTGGTTCAGCATAATGTGTCACCATGTTTGTATTTATTTGTGGGCTCTAATTACAAAATAATGACTGGAAAGAAACACCAGCACTTTAAGGTAGCGGGACTATTATTTGCATACTTGTTTTCATTCTCTAATTGTGACTAAATGACTACAAATAGACCCAGGAAAGTAAATATTTTTAGAATCGCTAGACTTCAAGGTTTTTACAAGTGTATTTTGCATGCCCGTATCTACATTCTACGACGCGTTACTCAACCAAAGGTGAAAAATTACTTTTTCGGTAAAAAAAATAATTGCGCATTTATGCTGGCGATCAGAAGTTTTTTTTTCACTTTTCCTAGTTGTTCAATAGTCTGGTAAATTGAATGTGTCTGGTCAGTTTTATTCAAGCAACGCGTTTTAAAAAATAGTGTG